ATTTCCTTCCCTGAGGTAAAACTCATACGACAAGCAATTACGATGCAGCAACCACGAAAACCATGTCCAGACAGCAACAAGAAAAAATGTTTGTGTCATTTTTCTTGTATAGTTCAATTCTTTTTTAGTTTAGTCGAATTAGCGTGGCAATTAAACAAACATATAAACTAGACTCTCATTATAATTAAAAATTAACTAGTAGTTTAGTAGGAAGTGAACCAAACATAGTTCACCAACTCCTCAATAGAGATATGAAAAGCCTAATTGTTGAGACTTGGACAAAAGGCAATGTTGATTATAGAAGCCTTTGTAGAAGCGCAAAAACTTAAGGAAATAAAAATATTGAATCATATTAGCTATAGACAGAAGTAATTAAAAATTTAGGATTTATATTTCTTATACAGTAAATCAGGATATCCAATAAGACTACGAGAATATCCCTTTATACCAGTTCATAATAATGGACTAAAGGGTTAAAACAAAACGAAATAAAATCATATGGAGTTAACCTCCATTGGACAACTTTGATGGGTTCGGGAGGTAACCTCTATTCGCAACCCTTCTATTGTTCAGAATTTGAATTTTAGTCTTATTGATCTAAAATTGTTAAATAAGATAATTAACTACACTATTCCAGTAAAAATATCACATTTAACACTGATACGGAAAACCAAAGGTTGGTAAAAATCATAAAACAACCAATGGAGCTAAATAGACTAAATAACCGAAAAAGTAATTAAAATCAATAATTTAAAGCATATGATATAACAGTAACCATTTTAGGCAATATAGTAGAAAATAAACAACACATTATGACAAATATATACTAGCCGATTTTGACTCAACTAGTGACTTATAATTAATTTTAAAATTTTTTAATTTTTACAAAACACAACGTTATTGATTATTAAACTTCAATTTACCATAATGGAAAAAAAGGTAAGGGATTTTTACTCCTGATCGACATCTGAAACACCGTATTTTTCACTATATCTCCTAACAGTCCCCAGCTTTCCTTGATTTTTTCTGAGGAAATTAAAAATACATGTTACGTATCCAAAAATATTCTAAAATGCCAAAATAAGTGTTTTTAAATTTTTTCGACCAATTTAGGGTTTCGGCACGGCGCCGCCGTTGTGTTCCGCTGCTGACGGCGGCAGCTCCTCTCGACTTGGTCATTTTCGGTCAATTTTGACCAGTTTTGGTCAGTTTTGTCCGGTTTTACATGGAAACCTATGAAAAAATAAGTTAGGAGGCCTCTGTTGGCCAAAAAAGTCAAAAACCAAAACCCTACCGGCGGAAGGGTTCCTGGGTGCGACAGCTCCGCCATTCCTCCTTTGCGGCCGGATTCTCCTTCAGCTAACCTACACCAGAAAGAAACGAGGAACACAATGGTCAAAAAATCGAGGAAAACGAAAAACAAGAAGGGGCTTATCAGAGGGGGTTTTGGATTTCAGCCACAGTAGCTCGACCAAGCTCCGCTCGTATTTTTTGGCTCACTCGTCGGCCTTTCAGCTCCGATATAGACATAGAGAGATTCATGATTAAATTCCGAGCGAAAGGGAGGAAAATCTTACCTTTTCAACGTCGAGGGTGGCTCCGGTGCGGCGACGAGGGTGGCTAGACTCCTTTTCCGACGTCTGGTTCACTTCCCAGCTACCCTTCTTCTTCTTTTTCGGTCACCCCTCTGTCAGTTAGGGTTTTGGTTCTCTGCGAAGAGGAGTTTAAATATTCCTCTCCATTTGATTCAGGTCATCCGTTCGAGTCGACATGGAGCGAGGAGAACCGTCCGATCGTTGCCTGATTGGGCCGATAACATGTGCGAATCAAGGTCGTCCATCACGATCAATCTCATCTGTTCGATTACATCTGAAGAAGAAACAAATTCGGGTCGTTCATGAGCGCGAGATGCAATCTGGACTGTTGGATTGCGCAGGCATCCAGATCACTTACGTGGCCTCCCGTGTGGAACCGATGTCAGCATGTTCGCCACGCGACGCGTTCTGACTCGTCATTGCTGCTAACAGGGTCGTCCCACGTGGTTATATTTTTTCTTTTTGCGATTTTACTCCTTGTTTTGAATTTTTCTTTCGAAAGCACCCTCCAGAGATTCACAGTTTTCTACTTTTCTCCAAAATTGTTTTCAATTTCATTCATAAATCCATTTTTCCTCAAAAATTTCACAAAATTAAAAAATTAAAATTATTTTCGTATATAATTTTATTAATTGTAAAATTATTCCGAACTAAATTTTCGAGGTCGGGTGTTACAGCATTGCCAAGTGCTAGAAAATTGTAATTTAAATAGCATCAGCAAACAAAGATGCATTACCAACAAGTTATTTAAGCATTTATTTTCTTTTATCAATCTTTTTTCTAATAACTAAGAAGAATATAGGATATTATTAGACAAACTACTTTCACTTGCTTACTCATGGACATTGTAAAAAACCCAACCGGGTGTCAATAAGATTTTAATACTTTTAATTTCCTGTCTTGTAAATTGTGTGAAGGCATTGGGAATATTTATACATGCAAAAGAGTAAAAGGGAAAAATTGGAAGGTGGTCTCTGGAATCTACCGAGACCACCAACTGTCCTCAACAATCTAACCCATTTTAAAATAAAAAATATCTTGGCCCTTCATTTTAGGGTTTTAATCTGGGCAGTCTACCTGTCCATCTCCTTTCAGTTTCTTGATTTTTCACTCTTAATTTTTTCACTCGCTCCTCAAGATGAAGCCTGTTCACTTTTGACTCTTCGAGCTCCTCACCACTTCTTTAATTCTTTGTGTTTTCTTGTTGTAAATGCTTCATCTTGAACAGAAGTCGATGATGTGCTGATATCCCTAAAGGTTTCGTGAGCAGATTGGCGAGCTGTTCTCTCGAGATGACGTGTTTTGTTTTGATGAAGCCCTTTTGTACCTAACTGCGACCTATATGGCAATTGATGTCGAGGTGCTTCGTTCGTTCGTGAAAGACTGGATTTGCTGCGATGTACTCAACGACTTTATTATCGCAGTTCAGTATTACGGGTAAATGAGGTACTATTTGAAAATCTCGAAAGAGGTAAGGTATCCACTGAACTTCACATACTGTGGATGAGATACTTCTGTACTCAATTTCTGTGGAAGACTTGCTCACTGTAGTTTGTTTCTTTGTTTTTCAGGAGATTAGCACTGGCCCGAGGAAGATGCAGAAGCCCGTGAGGGATTTGCAGGTCATCGGACACGATGCCCAGTCCGAGTCATAAAAGACTTGAACTTTAAGGTCATTCCTTCTCAGGAAGAAGATGTCTTGTTCCAGATATTGCTTTAGGTACCTGGTAACATGTAGTGCGGCGTCGAGATACGGTCATTTGGGCTGTTGCATAAACTGACTGAGCTGTTGGGTGGAGTATGTTATGTTGGGTCTGGTAAAGTTGAGGTAGAGCAAGCGGCTGATTAGACGTCTGTACCTCTCCGGATTTGGTAAGATTTCTCCTTCTTCTACATTTAGTTTTAGTCCGGAAGGCAAAGGAAAGTGGTTTTCTTTTGCGTCTTCCATCCTTGTATCTTGTAAAATGTCTTTGATGTATTTTCTCTAACTAATGTAGATCCCTTCTTTTGACCTGGCTATCTCGACTCCAAGGAAATATCTTGTTTGCCCGAGGTCCTTGACCATGAAGGCTTCATCTAGGGTGTTTTTGACTTTACAAATCTCTTTGTCGTTAGGACTCGTAACAAGTAAGTCATCCACATGCACTACAATTGTAACATAGTTTCTTTTTATTCCTGTTGTGAATAGACAGTGGTCGGTTTCTGACTTGGTGAAGCCGATGGATTGAAGCTTTGAAGTAAGCTCCTTGTTCCATTA